ATAGAAATGATTTTCCAATTATTATGAAATCAGTCATTATGATTTACAAAGTTCGGTTTATTTCTTTAAACCACAATTAACAATAATTCTAATCATTATAAATTCATTCGCTTTACACAAGACAAATAGCTATCCGAACTCAGTAGTTAAGTGAATAAAGCGTGTTGACATTTGAAACGAACGTTGTTGGGTTCGAATCCTTGAGCTAATATCAATGCTAGGATATAGGTTCACCCAGATGACAAGCTCATAGTAGAAAGAAATGCACGTCATGAAATCCATGGCCAACTTTAGTCCAAGGCGTTAGCACCATGCAAAATTATTTCAGGTGATTGAGTAGAATAGAAACAAACACTGGAACTTCGATACAAATTAACTTGTGAAACTCAGTGTTTATAGATTTTCATTTGTTTAACGCTTGTACATCTTTGCAATCAGAAATTATTTCAAAGTCTATAGGTCTTTTTGTTTCTGAATAATTCTCACTTCCAACTTCAAACCAATGAGGTTAGATATTCTTCTACCAATCGGATGATTTTTACTCATTTCAGATGCCAACCAATAGTGAAAGAAATTGATAGGTGAATTCAACTTAACCTAATGTATTGTACCATTTCTTATGTTGATCTAAAGACTCGAAATTCGATAGGAATATAAGATACGTGTTAATAAGCTTTTCCATTTATTATTTGTATATATTCACTTGAATATCAAAATACACTTGTGTGTTTGTGTGTGTGTGTGTAAATATGTTCAAAGTATGAAAAGTTTATGGTTATAAAAGTCATGTGGTAAGATTAAATTCTTTGTCCTCTGAAGAAAAAAACAACATTGCCGAATTAGATTTTTTTCTTCAAAAGTCATTTATCTGAACTAATCATCAAATTTGTGCGTCAATCACTCATAGACAAAAGCATTTTAATGTAAGTCAATAGTTTACACTGACTAGTTGTATTGAATTTTGAACCTAATTAAACAATATATAAATAAATAAATGAACTTAGTTATCACAGTTTTGTTTATTACAACTATGAGTAAAATATCAGCTGGATATTTTGAAATAACAGACAGATTTAAACATGCTTATTTTCTTGTAAATTAGAAATATGACAATCTGCTGTTTGACTGGAATTTTTCATTTTTGAAATTTTTGAAAATATTATTCTATCCCATTCTTTCTTTAAAGATTGTTTTAATTATTTGATAACGTAAATTAATTTTAGAAATTTGAAATTATATTACTGAATCATATTTATTCAACAGTTTGAGTTTATTCATTATAGTATTACAGAGATTGCTGTTTTCTATTGAGATCATGAATCCGTAATTTTTAGACCATCATCAGAAACCTGGAAGCATTGGACAACCGCTTCGTCCTAGTATGGGACTCTTCAGCAGTGTGCATCCACGAGCTATTCTAGTGGGAATCGAAACCAGGACCATGGGCTAAAACGCTCAAACGCTTGACCTGTAGATCACTGAATCGGCACTTAATTGTGTTAATGTTCAACTTTGATTGATTTAAGGTCATTGCACAACATCACTCGTTGTCTTCAGTAGTTACCACTAAGACCCGTCAGGGTTGAACTCCAACAGCTACGGCTTAAACCCATTGGAAGCCGGCTCAGTATTCTATAGGTTAAGTGTTGACGAACAAGACCGAAGGTCCTTGGCTCGGTTCCCACGAGCGAGGGTTGTGGATGAGCGCTGCTGAAAAGTCTCATACTAAGACGAAACGGACGTCTAGTGCTTCCAGGTTCCTAATGATGTTATAAAAATATGATTGATTTATGAGGTTAAGGTTAATTTGTTGCAAAATTCTTAACTTTAAATGTTTATTATCATTTCGTTGTCATTAATTCAAGTTAAATAGATTGTTATGTTGTTATCCTACCACACAGGTAAAAACTGTTCATTTGTTTACTTTTATGTATGACACTAAATTGCACTACAGATTTGAATAAAAATACATTAGCCAAGTTTTAAAACTTAATCAATCATAGCAACCTGTTGTAGCACCTCACATACATTCGAGTTTGGTTACGTTTAGTTTGATTCAGAGCTATTAATAACTTATTTAACAGATAGCGCCATTTGTAAAGCGAAAACCTGTCTATACTTTTAATATGGCTGCACTTGTATAAACATGTATGCTTGAGCATCGGTTACAGTCTACGTACAAGCTTTAATGTTAGTCACTTAGGTAATTCGGTTACTCATTCTGTACATTTATGTACATTTTAATCCTATTCATTCCCCCCTTTGGCATTCGCACATCACTTCGCTTTCACTTCGTGGGTTTGTGATCGGTACGGTGCGATAATAAACATCGCCAATGCTTCGTATTCGTCTTCTGAATTTTATATAACGTTAGTAACAGCTGTCAGAACGAGCAGTATACGAAGCTAAGGAATCATATCGAATAGCCATTGCAGTACTATTGTCAGTTATAATTTATGTTAATAAAATAAACCTTTACAATCTCTTTCTTTCTCTGAAATAGCAATACTCGTAACTTTTCTGTAGAAATTTCAAACATGGACATAATCATATCAACTATGAATCATTTTTAACATGACTAGGTTTCATAAAAATATAGCATATGATTGTAAGACATTGGCAATAACATTTAAATGATTTTTAAGCTTTATAACAAATTTACTTGTGTTAACATCGAGAGCTTGATAGTTCACAACCTGTGATGCTATTATTCTGTAAGGGAACAGTGATCTACATAAAGAATGGAATGACTTACCCAAATATATTAATCGAAGTTATTGTACCACAAGGAGATGTTTCATTTTATTTTTTTCTTTTCTCTATTATCTTCCATGATCTAATTATCTTTTAGGTATATAGATGATTAAACTGTTTATGTACCAGTTCCTTTCTCATTTTATTGCTTTGAAATGAATGAACTGAATGTACATACTGTAACAAGGTTTATTTTCAATAATATTACTCTAAGTCCTTTTAAATATTAATCTGTTAACCTTAGTTTCAGATATGAAAATTATTTGATTGTAGTGTTTTCACACTGTTTAAGCTTCTGTAATAAGGACTATGTCAGATATCACTTATCGTGGTGTAAGTTTCTCTATTAGATTTCCGTATTTTGTTGATATCAAAGAAAGTATTTCTTTTTATTTATTGTGTAAAGGTGTTGGGTGTTTCTTTTTTTGCATTACCCGAAAATTAGTTTTTACAGATTTATAGACTCATGGAATATTATCTATTATCCCAAATTGTTTCTCGTGATTCCATCTGGACTATTGAGAAATGATATCATTGTGTTAAGAAGATTGTTAAAGGTAATCAAACTGGTCGATGGGAAACTTCCAATGCAAAGTAAAGTAAGAAAACACTCTACAATACAATACTGTATCTCTGTTGGGGATGTCAGATCCCCAGTACTCGATTGATAAAGGCCTTATTTTGGATTTCAGGTTTGCGAGCAAGGGCTGATCGGTTGACCTTGAGATTTCGATTCCCACCAGCGAAATCCATGGCTGTGATTGGCTACTGTGTATTTTAGTGTGCTATTTTTGTGACTGTCCAAGGACGTTTCTATGATGTATAAATAAAGCAGAGAGTTGTATGCTTGATTGTACTGTGATTGCTGGGTGTTTGTAGAATACACTTTCTACGCTTATAAAGCCTTCTTACTTCCGCTTGGGTTTCAAGGTAGCCTACCTGGACGCTGGTAAAAGTCTTATTCGCGTTTATCGACTAAGTGATGAACATAATAATCTCACAGATATATAATCTGCAATAAACAAACTGTACGAGCTGAACCTAATAAAAAAAATATGTGTTCTAAAATGTATGCATATTATTCACCTTGTAAAGATTGTTAGTTTTGCGGTACAATTTCACTGAAATTTGAATGATTCTATTTGATTGATTTTACTTATATACGTTTATATTTCCATTGATGCCAATAATGGTGAACTTATGGAAATTTTGTCTACTAAAAATGTCATATTGTTCTACACAGATGGTATGGAATAAGGTAATAGTAATAATAGTGATACTGTCATAGTATTATTGTCCTTATTGTCAATTATTTCACTGTAACTTATCATTTCTTATAGTTCCTATACTCTACTCAATACAGAATATTTTGAAAGTAATGTTTATAATGAACGCAATAACCTCATCTATTGTAATGATTTTCAGTATGAAAGTTGCGGATATTGTTAAATTTCATTGAGATCATAAACCAGTGAAAGTTAAACAATCATTGAACATCTGTAAGCTACTTTGTTATAATATGGGGCCCTTCAACAATGCCCATTCATGACCTGAGCGCCGTGAATTAAACCCAAGATCTTCAGTCTTACATGTGTACGCTTAGCTTCTAGACCGCTGAAGTAGGATCTAATGAATAAGTGAACCAATGGAATTCAACTGTTTTGAGTATGGAGCAGATGACCACAGAAGATAATGAAAGATGTTCACGTAACTTTGTAGACTGATTGAAGTTTGAGATGTACAACATTTGGCTCTAGTTGAAATATTTTGAAAATTAAATGCTCGCGTGCGAAACTGAAGGTTGCAAGTTTGAACGCCGGTGGTCAGATCACATGGGTCAGGACTAATAAGGAGTTTCATACTTGAACAAAAAAAATATCTAGTTCTTCTAAATTTCCAGTGGTTGCCTAATTGAAACTGATTTGTAATCTCAATTCTAAAACAGTATTGTTTAACGTAAACTCTCTAAGCTCTTGTTATCCTATAGATATGAACATATCAAATAGGAATTTAATCATTCATATATAACCTGTCTGTGTCAAACTATATGTAATCTAATTGTCAGAATTACTGAATGGCATGTTTATTGTCTCATTTAAATTACTCAGTCAATTCATAAATACAATCATGATCTTACGTTGAATGTTCAATAAAATGTTTACAATTGACATTAGAATTTATGATTTTTCTATTCTTTTAACTTCAATAACCTCACAGTTATATTGTTTTTCTTGAAAACTATACAGATGCAGCATGAACAATCAATGGCATCATCGAGGAAATTGTTTACATCAAAAGTAAAATTACTTTTAAATTTGAAAAAAGCATTTCAACCAATTATAAATATATTTTCACCAATTCAAACAAAATATCAAATTCATTCGAATAATTCATGGTTGAAATTTACAAAATGTTCCAATGTTATTGGTCATGTACACTTTAGTGTTGAATATATTTACACATTGAAAAAATTAAATGTTATCATTAGTCATTTAACTGGTGTCAGTAATTTTGGCAAAATTGACTGTTTATTTCCTAGTCAAATTCAAACAAAATTTATTGTTGTTTTACAATTACGGCCAAGAATTGATTTTTCATTGAAGAATAAAAAGGAATTTCACAAAGAGAATGATCATTTGCATAGATTATATTTTACAACACCAGTTGAAACATTTGCCAATCCATGCTTTGATCAATTGTTTGTATTCGACATTCCGTTTAATGAATTAAAACACAGTGAATTAGTATTTTCAGTGTTGTATTCAACAACATTGAATGATCAAAGCGCCGACTATGATGATGATGATGATGCTAATAATAATAATAACAGTCATGAAGAACCATGTGATTTTAATAAAATATTCAATCTACCGACTTCTGTTTCTTCTCATCATCAGTTCAATCAACTATCAATGCAGTCAGGAAAAATGGCACATAAAATGCAATGTATTGGTGAAGCAGTTTATTGTATAAATTCCGAGAAACTCATCAATTATCCAGATGAATTACTACATAATTGGCAAGAATTGTATCCACCATTAAATTCTTATGATCATTCTACAGTGGAAAAGAAATTAAGTCTAATGAATAAAAATGACAAACTTAACAGAGAAACTAGTGACGAAAATTATGTATGTATAAGAAGTTATTTATCTCAGTGTGTAATGTTTATTCGTGTAGAAACAGGTCGGCAAGAGGCTATGAGTGACGTGAGATCAATTACATGTTATCGATCTTTGAAGATATTGACAGTGCTGACTGCTTGGCTAGATTTCAGATGATTAGCATAATCAGTAGGAGGAGACGTCGGGTGATATAATTCAGGCTCAGATAGCATTTGTGCGCAATCATTCACTCTTAGTTTCCGATTAGATCCTGAATTTGAAAAATATTTTATACACTGTTGTTCTATAAATGCCAGATCAATTAATCCCATTCTTTTCTATGATTACTTATAATGTTAGAAGTTGTACGACTGCGAAATTCAATTTTGTCGTTGTAGTTTGTGTACTTGGATAGATGCATATTTATGTCAGATTCTAAGTTGGCAGTTATCTAAAATAGTAAAATTAACCTTTGTGGTTGTTTCCTCTAACATCCAACGATATTTTAATTGGTAATATTGCATAAGTTGATTCCTCCTTAGTGTAGTTACATAACTTACTTATTTATACGTGTTACCTGCCATGGGGTATAGGCTACCAGCCAACTATCTGCGATCAACTCTGTCCTGAGCTTTTATTTCTACTTATTCTCTTGAAGTGTAATTTGATCTGATGGTTTTCTTTTTGCCCTGAGGACTTCAACTTACGGCTTGTTTCGTGATACAGTCTGAGGATTTCTGCCATATGTGTTCAATCCACTTCCGGCATATTTTCACTATCATATATCATTTTATCGTTTCGCGTATAAATAATAACTTTCAAAATGTTCGAATAGGGAAATAGGAATAAGTGGCTTTTTAGTTGGTTGGTCTTATGGATCACTGTAATGGACGTTTGATAGATTAGATTTAAATCGTTAATGAAAGATTCTCTACTAGAAATGTTTATCACAATTTTAGAGATTCCATAATACGTTAGTTTCAAATTTTCTAATGGCAATATAATCATAGTTTTTATTCCTTATTTACTTACAAAATTCTTCCAAAGTACTGACCAAAAATGCTGATTTCATTAGCTTGAATGTTGGCTGGAGTTTATCTTCGTGAAGTAGCTGCGGAATAGAGCTTCTCTTATGTAATATTATTCATGGTTATCGCAAGTTGTAGGATTAATTTTTATTTCAATTTTGGAATTTTTTAATCCGTTTAAGAAACACCTCAATTTTAAAAATAGTAAAATTATGGTCGTTGTAATTTTTCTCCCAAAAAACCAACACTTCCATTCCATCATGATATTTATTACACAACCAATGAGTCACAAACACGTTCTTATATCTTATGTTTGATCGAAATATCGGAGAGTGACATGCACTTTAAATCCTAACTCACGTGTATATTTTGATTTTATTTTCTGTAAGAGTGTTGGAGATGCTAGATCCTCAGTACTCGCTTGATAAATGCCTTATTTTGGATTTCACGTTTGCCAGCATGGGCTGATAAGTTGACCTTGAGATCTCATTTCCCACCGGGAAAATCCATGGCGGTGATCAGCTGCTGTGCACTTTAGTGTGCTATTTTTTTTGACTGTCCAAAGGACGTTTTTATGATGTACAAATAAACGAGAGTTGTATGCTTGAATGCATTGTGATTGCTGGGTGCTTGTAAAATATACATTCTACGCTTATCAAGACTTCTTTTTTTGCCGTTTTCAGATCAAGGTAGCCTACCTGGACGCTGGTGCATTGTCTCTTTCGGGTTTATCGACTAAGGTGAACCCGTAATAACTTCAAGCGTACCTAGTGACGAACCTAACAAAGATAGACGGTTTAATTGAAGAGCTTTCATCGCTAGATTTATTAATCTCTTTGTTGTCTAAGTTATTTAGAAGCAAACATTTCACTTATCTCCTAAATGTTAAATTATTTTGCTCTGATACCTGACAATAAACTATCAATATCAAATGACAGAAAACTTGCGGAATAAATTTGTACTGATAAATATATGGTCCATGGAAATGTTGGCGGGAGTAACTATGACTCTCTTAAGGTAGCCAAATGCCTCGTCATCTAATTGAATGGGTATGTTGGGTGATGCGCATAAATGGAGCCTTCTGGTGGTTGTGGTGGCGGCTACCTCTTCGTGGTCCTGTCAGGCAACATGGCGTTGTTTACAGAGCTGCGGCTAAAAGCCTTTCTGATCGCTTAGGATACCGTGCTTAGCATGGTAAAGAATAATGGTACGTGTTCATGGTCGCTAGGCTGTGAATGCGGTTTGCCACTCTGAGAGATTAGGACTGAGCGTCTCTAAGTCTGAATCCGACGCCGACCCTATGTGTTTGTCCCGAACACTCTGCATCTCGGTGTAGTGTGTCATCTGGCATCGACGCCCCTTAAACAAGTGTCTCCAGTTGGGTTATGTGATCCAGTGCTGAAAGGGTACTGGACGCCAATGATGTCTGCCCACTTATGTAGTGAGATTAACCCTGCTTGGTTGAGTGCTTGCACTTGGTCGAGTTTATGACACCTACCCCATGGAAAGGCTTACGTTCCGGCTGACCTTGTGGGAAAAATTTGATCTTTAGCTTCATGTGGGGTCTGAGGGCTCCGGTCGATTGTATCAGCGAAAGGCAGTTGGAGGCCAGACGGTTGGAACGGCTGCTGTTTAATGCACTACTGGCTGGCCTAAAAAGCAGCGGCATGCATGTGCAGCAGGCTTGTTGGTTAACCATGAATATATGGTCCATGGAAATGTTGTGTGTTTCATTTACAGTAAAACAGACAGTCTTAGAATCAGTTTTCTTTCACTATTTCGACTTTTTATCAAAGTACAGAATTTGTCATTTATTCAGATGTGCACCTGAATCTCAAAAAAGTACCTCGCATTTACAGAAAGAGATTTGATGGATTATACATGAAAATAGTGTATCTTAACTGATTTTATGGTTTATTTTGCTACTTGTTCCAACAATCTTCCACATCATGCTATTATGTTTGACGGTAGGTTTTTCCAAAAATATTTTTCTTTGGTCATATGGAAGTGGTGGAAATAAAATATGCTTTGCATTTGAAATCAATTGGCAAGAAAAGAAAAAGACATAGTTTGGTTCCGCTGAATGTTCAGACAAGTGGAATTGCAAGTTTAGTAGCTCACTGCACTTTTGTACTTGAAAACAGGCTATACAAATGGTAAAAACGTTAAACAGAATAATTGCCATAAAAAATTGTTATTATCTGAGTGCTACTGAATAACTTGTAAGTAGTTAAGAATGTATAATAAAAGTTTTGGGGCAAGTACAGTTCATCTTCAACTTCTAAGGTAGTTTGTTGAACAGTGTATTTCACATGATTGCTACTGTGAGGTGATTGGCTATTGATGAGAAAATCTGAATTTCAACAGTATTACCCAAGAGCTTGTAATTAAGCCCAGTAGAAATGAATGTTCCTAGTAATATTCTTGGAGTTTTTATTTCATTTTTACTAAAGTAAACGACATTCCTGTTTTTGTGAGAAAAATAACATTTACTTGATGCTTTATAACTTTTACTGATGGTTTATGATTAACATCCAAATGAAAATTTACATCTTCAGAAATGTTTGTAGCAATCTATATTTCATCTGATTTTCTCAATTCAAGACTCATTCATAATTGTATTACTTTTCACCATCATAATATTGATTGAAATTAAATGTCTAAGGTCTATAAAACATATGACAACTAAATCGTGACAGTTTTATAGGTATCCATTTTCACCTGGCATTTACAAACATAGTATATGTAATAAGTTTTGATTGTTTGATTTTACAGCACAAATGCTAACAGAACTAGTCATAATTTGGCCTTTTCTCCATGATACTGTTGATTTCGTAAACCATCAATCACAGGTTATTTAGATAATAATACGAACACGATTTTAGGGAAGCTGGAGGATCAAAGTCTTGTGATATAGCTCTTGAAAACTTTCAAGTTTCCTCAGTTAGCACTTTCCAGCTATCATCATCCAATTAGTCAGGTTACTATTCGTTTAATGTGTTTGGTTGTACAGCTGATGTAGTATGCAATTATTTTGAATTACAAACTGGTCGTGTCGAAGTAGAGCGAAATGACTATCTTCTACTTTCCGCTAATGCGATTTCCTGAAGTGTCTTAGCAAATGATCAACTTAAATAATTTTCATTAATAAATATCTGTTGATAGCTGCTTGAAATATTAAAGTAAAAAGTTGCTAAATATCACTAGTCCCCTACAATTTATCAACTCATATTTTTTTTTCTGTTTTTGCATTAGAGTTTATTACAAGAAATTTCATTTTATGAATTGCCAGATAAATCTATGGCCCAATTGTCAACAGTTTATACAAAATGGTCATCTAGTCTTAAATTATATGTTAAAACAATAACAAATTTAAAAGTTTGTATTGATGAAAGTAAGTCTGGTTTGTGTTTTAAATTTAAAGAGTTTCGTGACATTTTGATTTAGATAATATTCATCTGAAAGAACAAAGCTGAATTTTACTAATTAAAGGAAAATTAAGTTCAAAAGGGGCAATATCTTCAACCATTAGAATCTCATGATAAGGATTAGGTTTTATTTCTCAAATTTAGCTCCATGAAATCCAAATTTAAATTTTGTTTTTTGTTTGATTACTGATTAACTATAATTTTTTTCTATTCTATGCTATTTGATTTAAATAGAATCTTTGCAGAAACATCTGCATAATGCGAAATCATATGCCACAATTCTGATTGGATATCTATCTACATCGTGATGATATGTAGTATAGTTCTAGAACCTTCCAGAAGCTCAAAGTCATTACTAGCTCTATCAACACCTAGGAGTAAAGCCTCTTTTTGTACTTCGCGCCTTTCTTCTAATGTTCAAGTTACCGTGTAGATTTAGTCTCGGTTTATTAGTGACGTTTATCAGCTGACTTATTACTAATGACTTACAATTGATAGTTGGATTGTTGGATCTAACAACAAGTCTACGAGACTTTTAACGGGATATCAAATGCACTTCGTTAACCAATGAGTCATTTTACTCGGAACATGATTCTTTAAATCGTATTCTACTTAAAAGTAATGTTCTTTTCAATGAAGGACAATCAGTCAGAATTGTATTCCAAACATTGTAGACTGTCGAAAAATATTCCTTATTTAACACTAATTAAAATTAGCTCATTATCTTTGAAGTATAAATCAAAAGCAAGAACCAATACACATTGACATTTTTCAAAAGGACCGTAAAATATGTTCATGTTGCTGGAAACATAAACTGACATTAGATTTGTATATTTGAAGTCATATTCGGTTAAAAATGTAATTCATTATTATTATTATAATTAACTTTCAAGTGGATGAATTGAGAATGTTTGTTTGTACAACTAATACTTATTATTACTTCTTTTGTATTTTGCAGCAGAACTTATTTTCCGCGCCACTTATTGTTTAAATAATATAAGTTTACAATCTGTAACAAGTCAACCACTTAAAATCATCAAATTGGAAAATTGTAAAATTGAAACAACCAATGAAGTAGAAAATGGCTATATTTTGGATCATATCAAAATACCATCAAATGAATATTTAACATTGAATGTAGAAATAAATGAACTAATAAATTATCGTCAAAATATTCAAATTATATTTGAAATATTCATTCAAACAGGTCTAACTGGCCATGTACATTGTTTATCTAGAATTGTATTATGTTCAACTAAAAACAATGATGTTAATGATAAAAATCATGAATCAGCCTCATCACAATACTATGATTTAATTAGAGAATTATATAGAATAAAAGAAAGCAACTCAATTGGTTCTACAAAAAAGATAACTTACTGGTATCAGATAAATAGATCATAAAATAGTAACATACACTATATAAGACTTCTTATAGTTTATAATTTCAATTATGAAGAGGTCACATTTCTCATAACTATTTCACATATCATACTGAATGTCATAAACGATGAAGAAATTAAAAGCTTGTTTCGAATTTTAAAATTTTTCTGTCTTCTTTAATTAGCTGGTCTTATTGACTATTTGGGTTGATATATTCAAGAAAAACTATTCTAACCGTAAAATAGTTGAAGCATATAATGAAAATCCAGCTTTTTGATCAAAGAAAGTTGACTTTAGTTACATTTCGTTAATGTAAATATCGTTATGTAATAGTAAGTTTTGAAAATAATGAAATCGAGAGTTCAGTTAATTGGAAGTGATTTGATTACTGCCCAGTTGATATCCAACCTAAATAGAGAAAACTTGTTCATTCAGTATTACAATTAGTAAGAATTTGAGTCATCTTCTGAACGACATGAGAGACTGAACTGTGATCATATTTGCATTCTATGTAAGGTAATGGCTGTCTGAATATAATAATAGCCAAGCAGATAACTTTATGATGTTTGAAGTTAAGGGTTGTGTTTTTGAGTCCTGGCCTGAGCAATAACTCCAAAGCGCAAGTACATTCAGCTGACTAGTCTCAAATAGAATGAAACATGCGTCTTAGATCTCAGATCCTATCTATTTCCCATGTACATGAATAATGTTTATTCAATGTCATATTAGTTAAAACAAATATGTAGATAAAATGTGATATTGAGCATTAGCTATTTGGAGTTAATGTCGAAGTAATGAATTAGGTTGAAAATAATTAACTCTGAAAAAATAAATTCTATAGATCTCTGTCCACGTTTAAAAACCCACAAAATACATGATTTGTATTATTAATTTCCTATGGGAAAAAATCGGTCGGTAAAGTCAAATGACTTTATGAGTTTTTCTCCTTATTTATGAAATCTTTCAAGGACAATTAAAGGTTTAGACATTGTCAATTCAATGAAATGTTGGTGTGAATAATCATTCATACAGAAATTTTCTTTCATTAAAGACTGCCTCGTTAGTTTTGATCATTCAATCTCTCATGGTTAACGGATGGAGACAGTCTTATCATGATTCCTAAGTGGAGACCTTTAGGAAATTAACATCGTTGGGCAGTTAAGATTGTACTTACATTCCTGATGTCGGCTGCGCAGGTTACCATGGGTTTACCTGACTAGAAAGACTAGTGATTTAATGGATACTTTCAATTGAGTGAACAGATGTCAACAGTTATAGACCTCTTCTGCAAATAGAATTGGTATCAAAATATGACTGAATGATGTTTATCTTATTATTCAGTTAGCTATATTTGCTCATAGTTATTGCATTAACTGATTTACCGAACTAGTTTCTTGTCAGTTGTTTATAATTCCACGGACACCTTAATCACTTGGATTAATTTAAAGAACTCTCTAATCATACTGAAATTTCATCGATATATGTATATAAAAGTGATCAGGTGATGATTCGACCACTGACTTTGTTTTGCAACGAAAAACTAAAGATGCCTTGATGTAGTTATCGCTAAGGCTATTACTCTACTTCAGAAGTCTTAGCAAAAGTGAAAAACTGTACTGTAACCATCTATTTTGGAAATACAATTCAAGAATTATGATGTACAATTTAAGCATAACTTAAGTCAACTGATTTACACAACAATGGATTCCGTGAAATAATATTGAACTCAGTTACTGATAGTTAGTTTGTATAGATCTAACGAATTCTTTGCTGCACTAGAGTCATCACTAAAAACGGCAGGAATAAGCAAAGAAACTTAACAAGAAATGAGGTGAACCATAGAACCTCTAACTCGACGGAAGAGAGAGCACAACCAACTAACATTGCAACAGCGAAAAGCTCTAATGAAACGCAGAACCAGGGAAAACATAGTCATAGTTCCAGCGGACAAATGACGCACCACAATATTTATGGACAAGGAAGAATATATGAAGAAAGCCGAGGAACTAATTGAGGACAGAAGCGTTTATAAACCAATCGACACAAACCCAATAAAAAGTTGGACAACCAAATCTCAAGGACTCTAGACAAGCTTGTCAAAGCAAGACAAATATCAAAACAAGATCAATGAAGAATGAAATCCAACGGACTAGTAGTTCAACGATTCTAAGGTAGGCCGAAACTCCAAAAACCCAACATCCCACTACGCCCTATTGTATCCCTCCCCGGAACTCCGACCTACAACTTATCAAGAGGAATTTTAGGGATGTGAAAACATATGGTGGATTCATCCAACTACTCCATTAAGTCTGCCACACAATTCTTGGATAAACTCAAGGTGATCCAGACCGAAAACGACAGAACGATGTTATCCTTCGACGTAACAGCCTTGTTTACCTCAACAGAGCCAAGCTTAGCTAAAGAAACTCTTTCCCCGCTCCTCATCAACGACACAAATCCGCAAAAATATACAAGGCTTAAGAGCCTAAGTCTGCTTGAACTCATTGACCTATGCTTAACAACGTATTTTCAATTCAACAACAGAGTCTACGAACAAACAAAAGGAACACCAATGGAATCACCAATATCAAGACTCATCGCGGAACCTGTAATTCAGAGACTAGAAGCGTCGATTTTACCAGTGATCGAGCCAAAAATATGGGTTCGCTATGTAGACGAAACATTCGTCATTATCAAAAGGAACAAGCTGGAGAACATTTACAGTCAGATCAACAATGTCCTCGATGACATCAAACTCATGATGGAAAAGGAATCAAACAACAGCCTATCATTCCTGGATGTACTAATCACCAGAACTAACACAGGAAAACTGGAAACTCAAGTATTTCGGAAGACAACCCACACAGACGTAATTAGCAACTACGATAGGAACAATCCAAGAACCCACAAAATCAACTGCATACAAACTTTGTTCAAGAGAACGAAGATACACTGCAGCACATATGGAGCACTAAAAAATGGGGAAAAACATCTTATGACTATCTTCCAAAAAAAATCAAGTACAGAAACAAATAAACCGATCATCCTACCAAACATGGAAGACATATAGGAGCATACAGCACGACTACTGAAACCATTTTGAATAGGTGTGGCACACAAACCAACAGAATCACTTCAATCAATCCTATGTAGACCAAAGGACAAAATGACAAACGAAGAAAAACCAAATATTATCTACATTATAAATTGCTCAGACTGTGAGAAACACTACATAGGACAAAGTGGACGGCCTCTTCAGCTTCGCTTACGTGAACACCAGTTAGCAGTCAAACGCCACGATGATTCTTCGCTTATATCAATACACACCGACAATTATGGACATACATTCGATTGGGACAATGTGGAAATACTGGATAGGGGGAAAACAAAGAACACTAGAGAATTTTCAGAAGCTTGGCACTCAGGTCAATCAGCAATCAACGAACACATTGACATTGACCCAGTTTATCAACCAATCAGAAAAATCATAGGCGACATAGCATCAAGAAACAGATCAAAAGGGGCAAAATATCAAAACAAAGGAGCAAATAACGATAGGTTTAAGGTCAGCAGCAACTAATCAAGATCAAGGTTAACAGAACAAGCTACAGGTCAAACGTGGAGAAATTCGAATGCTTCACTTCTATCTGAAGTATGTGCTGATAATATTGTTCAGAAGAACAATGAAAGCTCCACAACCAAAGCATCCAGCTTAGAGATCCAGCGTAGTCATACACTCACTCACATTCACAATCACAAAAAGGCAGTACATCAATACAGGCTAATTGTATGCTCACTTTATACAGCATCCTATGAGATACGGTTGTTTTCCTTCTTCTCCTTTTTTTTCATGGAAATTTAAATTTGGGTGGTGCAAACATCGTATAAACTAAGTCGATTCAATTCAATTCAATTCAAACGGTAAGAGTATATATCGTTCGGTTTAAATGATTGTCAATGATTTTTTCATTTCACTCACTCTGTTGTATACTTATTTACTTGTTTATTTTCTCTCTCTGCCTTTTTTTTTATTCACCCGAAAAAAGAAGCGAAAGGAAGAATGCATTCCAATGCATTCATCAACAAACGAATCTTTTATTTATTTATTTGTTGTTGGTTCATTTAGTCATTTGCTTGTTTAAATTATCGATCTTTGATTTTTTTTTTATTGCTGCGTTGTTCTGATTTCACGATGTCATAAAATTGGAGCGAATTGAAGTTGGAAAACATTGCGCGCTTCTAGTTTTTGTTTGTTTTGTTGTCGTTGTTGTTGTTGTTGTAGTTGAGGTCGCTGTATGGAAAAGCAAATGAAAATGCATTTTTCACACTGGCTTTATCCAGCAGTTTGGCAAAGACGCCAATTCGATTTTTTTTATTTGACAAATAAATCTATCATAACAAACGTAGAGCTTGGAAAAATCAATCACTGCTGTCATACTATTATGCCAAAGTGAGACAGGAAATTAAAAAAATTATTAGTAGTATAGTGTTGTTGAAATATATTAAGAGTAGCAATGATCGTGATGAAGAAGGATAGTTCTATAATGACGGAAAAGGCAGGTAATGCTAGTTTAATTTATCAGAGTAGATGAAAAGACTGTTTAAGATTTTTGTTAAGTTCCAACAGCTAGAGATTATCAACTGGCGATTTTGTAGCCTATGAATAGAATACTTTACTGGTGTTTATTAACAGTTGTCTACGCAAAATACTTCGGATTCGTTGGCCAGACACCATCAGCAACAACGAACTGTGGGAGAGAACAAACCAGATTCCAGTGGAGGAGGAAATCAGGAAGAAGCGGTGGAAGTGGATAGGACACACATTGCGGAAAGCACCTAACTGCGTCACGAGACAAGCCCTCACTTGGAACCCTCAAGGCAAAGGGAAAAGAGGAAGGCCAAGGAATACATTACGCCGAGAAATAGAGAAAGATATGAGAGGAATGAACAAACATTGGACAGAACTGGAGAGAGAAGCCCAGGACAGAGTTGGTTGGAGAGAACTGGTGAGCGGCCTATGC